CAAATAAAAGGATAGCGACCAAGATATTACCTTAAAACCAAAAAAAAAAAAAAAAAAAGTAAAAAAGTAAAAATAAAATCCTATAGTTAGATGTAGCAACTTGATGTAGTTAGTAAGTTGTTATACCTCCAAGCAGCAGGTCTAGAGTTCGAATCTCACCTATGATGAAATTCAGAAAATATACCTATATTATAGCAACTGCTTCTGTCATATAGGGTTAAACACCTGTAATACAGTCATATTAACTTGTTTGAGAGGTCAGAACATCTGTGTTATACAAAAAAATGCAAACTGATTTTGGGTAATACAAACTCAAGATAAGTCTTTTGGCTGAATATAGAAATCTATATATATGGCAATGTTGTTACAGGACAGTTATGAACAGTAAGTTTAGACAATTTTGAACAATTAAATAAATTAAAATTACTCAAAATTTTATTAAGATAATCTATATTAATTTCTAAATAAAATATATATACAGTCGACTCTCTCTAAATGCAGCTTGCCGGGACTTAGAAAAATTTCTTAAGTAAAAAAAAAAATCCTGCACTTAAAGAGAACCTGCATTTAGAGAATATAAATTTATTATAACTTTATATAGCTTGGGACTAAAAAAAAATCTGCATTTAAAGAGAATTTAATATGACCTGCACTTAGAGAACATGCATTTAGAGAGAGTCGACTGTATATATATTTTTTGATTTTAAAGTGACCTCTTGGTCGCTATCCTTTTATTCAATTATTATTAACTTTTACAGTATGGTATACATCATACTATACACATATTTGGAAAATACAACTAGCCACATTTGCAACTTTTGGTTGACTATTTAAATAGACATCTATTACTAAGTCTTATACTAGCTGCCGTATCTATAACCCTACCAAGTTACCCATTTAAACTCTCTGCGTCTATGTATATTAATCTTCTAACTAAGCGAGAATACATTAGTACCCCTTATTTTCAGATCCCCGACTTAGAACTTTAAGACAGACCCACCTATAGGGATCCTTTGTCCTCGAGATAAACCTTCTAGAGCCTTCTATATCCACATTTAGGCTGACCTAAGCTTCGATAACTTACGCCAAGTTTAAAGACAAATACTTGCGAGCTGAAGCCGCTACCATTACCTACTTCTGCCCTTATAGAGTTTACTCTACCCCAGCCTTTACTCATCCAATCAGGAACCCTTCTACTGTTTTACCAAACTTCCAATCCAGATAGCCCGGTTTGATCTACAAGTTATGTTATCTGCCTTCCTACTAGCTTAACCCAGATACTTGCCTGTACCCTTTTCTTCTGATCGATTTCAGCGGCCTGGTTGGTATAGTGCTCACCAAACACCCAGTTCTCGTCCAGATCCACAGCTTATTGGTTTTCTTTTCAGACTTTTCAGAGCTATTTAAAGTAGTACTACTTCTCTAATCAGGACTTTCTAAGCGGATTCCTATTCAAAACAACGTCTAACAGATTTACACAAATCCCAAGGACTTATCGTGGGTTTACACTGCCTTTTATCAGTTTGTATCTCTTCGTGTAACTTCTCTATTACACGAATGCTCTAAGATCTTCCAAGTCTGTACTACCACCTCCAATTAGGACTTATGAGATAAGCTGTCTATTAGACGATCATTACCCTTTGCACCTATTTGATCTGACTGTCATTACAGAATTTAAATCTCAATACTCAAATAGTCATTAATGTATAGAAGAATTCGATTTTTCATTATCGACAGGAATTGAACTCTGGATGTGCTACTTGGAAGAACGACAACTTAATCACTTCACTAAGGTGCCATACTCTCTCTCTAAGTAAAATATATTCAGTATATAAAAAAAAATATATAATCATATATTTTTTAAACAAATTTATTAATTATTAAAGTTTAAACATACTTTGGATACTTGTGAACACTTGGATACTTGAACGTTAGACAGTACTAAAAAAGTCTTTAGACAGTTAAAATGTACAATACTGCATATAAAAAGATCACAAAAACCTGTTTGGAAAGATCTAAGTAAGGAGATAGTGAAGATTTTCAACAATATTGTAAGAAACCAGAACTGAAAACCAAAAAACCAAACAAAAAACTCTAAAGCAAGAAGAGTCTACCAACTTGGCTACCAGAGTTATATTGGAAAAAAAAGTTCTATGTTACAAAATTAAGAACCAAAAAAAATATAATCAGAAAATACTTAAAGTCCAGATATAACAGCCCATCTGGGCTAACTGATTTGGTAATTAGGAAGGGATTAGTAATAAAACTGGTTGAATAAGGTATTGGGATCAGAATGAAACTTGCAAGGGCATGAATACTGAAATTGTGCTGTTTAACAATTAGCTCTGACTGCTAATGGTGATTTTAACTACTACAAAAGATATTTGAAAAGCCTAGTCTGAAAATATGTAGAACATAAAAAATTAGAAGGCATCTGCTATGCCTACCTGTGAAGACCCATGAATAATCAGGGTAATCTAGTTTAGGTAAAAAGAATAGCAGGGACACTTTGGTATAAAGATACCTAGTTTAAAATAATTGGTAGATATGTAAATACTAAAATGTAGACCCATGTGATCAACAACAAACATCAATAAAGCTTGGTTCCAAAGAACACCTTAATATAAAAAAAAAAAAAAAAATTCTATAGTTAATTAAGATTAAAGTTAGTATAAAGTTAAAATTAAAATTAAAAAAAGCTTAACTTATAGCAAAATTTAGCAAAAAATCTTAAATTTTGTTATCATCAAAATTTAATTGACTTTATAAAATATAGCTATATTTATGCTATTTTTATAAATTAATTTTTGTAAAAATATTTTGTCTAAAATTGATTTACGATCATATTTATTTAGACAAGTTTATATATAAGACTTTTTAAGTTTAATAGAATATCTTTAAAAAACAAAAAAAAACCTTTATAAAATTTTAATTTTCAAAAAATTATTTGAACTAATTATACATATATATAATTATTTTTAAATAAGTTTGAATTTAACTAAAAACGTAATAAAAAATATTTAATTTTAATAACAAATTAAAAAACAAAAACATAAAATGTTAAAAAATATATATATATTTTTAAATAAATTAAAATAATCACAACTGGAAGTTTAAATTCACAGTTATCACGTATTAATTGATAAAAAATAGTTTCGCGCATTTATTCTATCGTGCTTATACCGACTTAATTTTTTTTTTTGCCAATAAATGTATTATGACGAATTTATCATATAAAAGAGAAAGTTCGATGTGATAAAATCCCTAGTTTGTAAAATCGTGGCCGGTAAACAGAACACTGTTACAACACAATGCTATAATTGGCCCGTTGTGTGTTGCTCAATTTTTTTTTCTCACAGCAATACACCCGTAATTTTATACAGATCCGTATATAAATACTGATTTATAATGAATTTATACATTTTTGCGTGTCAACTTACCTGAGTTCTATCCGGGGCCAATTTGATATTTATATTGTGCTTCTTAGTGTCTTGGGTTATTTTTTTTTTTTTTTAATCGGCTGGATGAATCAAAAGTCTGGAGTCATATATACCAAATTTTTATAGAGTATTATAATTATAATAATTAATTCAGGTAATGTATGTTACTTTCTGCGGTTACGTTTAATGTGTTGGCTTTTGGCCAGTTTCGTGCGACTTGCACACAAAATAAGTCACCCAATTCTTCCATAATTAATTATTCTTTCCCCTTTCTTCCAAAAACGATCTTATTTTCTTGGGCTTGATCCTTACTTCTTCATTTACGACATTGTAACAGGTTGTTCTCCTCTCCTAATCCTTCCTTCGGTTCCTTTCCTTGCAAACATTCCTCGAAAACTCTACGGAAACTCTGTTTCTTCCCCACCCCTTTTGTAAATACCTTTTCTGGACCTGGGTGTAGAAACTCGCATAACACATATTCCCCAAAAAGACCTCTGGCTCTCGTGGTCCAAAGAAATATTAGAACCTGTTCATTAGACTGATAATAGACCTTAGTTGTACATTTACCACGCACATAAATCCCATAAAAGCAAAGAATAAGATTAGCCCTTGTGTTAGCATAAATATAATAATTTTTTTTCGTCTTTTGGTCTTTTTTTTACTTTTGCGGGTAGAATATATTTACTGTCTAGTGTGTACAGATTCTTGCACAACGTCCCTGTATTATTTTAAAAAAACTTGTACGATAGTATTTATTTGTGTAAGCAACAGAGTATTTCTGTAAAGGTAAGAGTAAGCGAACTTTTAATCGCTCAGAAAGTTTATGGAAAGACGATCGCTTAAATACGAGATTTATATATACTAACGGCAAAATTATGCATTTTCCCTTTACAAAACTCCGCTTTGAATAGGTTATATCCATAATGGAGGTATGGTTTCACGAATTTAAGATAAAAAATTTACTCCAACACATTATATGGCTAATATTGCATCTTATGTATTATTCAACTAATTTCAGCATGAGACAAAGCCTGTCCCGAACGCTTGGAAGATTGTAAGTGTCAATAAAAAAAAAAAAAAGAAAAAATATATATATATATACACACATATATATATATATATAACCAATAAAAAAAAAAAAAAAGTTCTTTACGCATTACCTTTGTGATTATATATTTCTCATTTGTCACGGACAATTTTATATGACGAGAGAGAAATATAGATCTACCTTAATGCTAATGACAAACACTTGTCAAGTCACTTAATGAGTGTTAGTAACATTTATCTTCTCTTTTTCCCAATTATTTCTCAAAGCCCAAATCTACCTCTGCTAGATCTGCTAGTCCTGCATCAGTAACTAATAAATCTAGTGTCAACGGTGATTCCCGTAGCGGCAAGAATAGTCCGTCGCCGGCATCAAACTCCCCTACGACATCGGCCAACTCTGTGCCGTACAATAATCAAAGTTGGAAAGTTGTTGGAAGTCCGCCCACTAATGTGATCCGAAATGTTCCGCAAAGCTCAGATGAATATCAAGTTTATGCAAAAAAATCAGATGAAGACAATCAAGAGCATAAATTGCGACGAGCATCTAGTAATTCGAGCACACCTCAGCGATACTTAAATGGTGGAGCTGATCTAGCTTCCCGATTAGTCTCGTCTAACTCACCGCCACAAAAAATCCAGCAAGGTATCACAAATGGAAATGGTGATTCTGCCAATGGTGGAAATTGGAATGCTTTAGGAGGACTACAATGGAATAGTGCTTCTATTTGGAATGAAAAAAATCAGCAATCTGGCCCTGGATCAAAAAAAGCTCCTCATACATCTCCTACTCCTCCTCCTACTGTAAATAATGAAGATGTGAATAGCAGTTCTTCATATGAAAGGGAAATAAGCTCGCCTCCAGGCATCACTGGAAAATTACCTGTCCCAGTCCCTCCAAATCCACAGTATCGTCAACATCGAAGCCTTTCTTTTTCGGTTGGACAACATGATACTGATTTGTTTGGTTGTTACGTTCCTGCATCAGCATCTCGTCGTGAAAGCGAGGGTGGCTTGCGTTTTGCATATCGACATTCTCTTCCGGTGATGGAAGAGGAAACTGATGATTTTTCACAATTTGGTATGAAATTCCGCACTCGATCAAAATCCTCCGCTGCCGCATATGGAGTTATTTCTGGTCACCATGATCTTCCGCATGGAGATGAAATGAGTAGTTATCGACGTGATTCTGAACAATATTCGGAATCTAGTTCAATTTGGAACAATCAGGGTTCTCAGAGTGATGGGCCTATGCTTCATCATAGACGTTCTGTTCCTGGTACATCGGATTATGGAAATATGTGGGATTTAAACACACCCAGACAACCACCACCAGCTTCTTCATACTTAGCAGTCATGACTGGTTTACCTGCCGATCGCGAACGTTTAGAAAAAATTAGGCAACGTCGTTTCTCTCTTTCACAGGCGCCAACATATGCACATGAGTACCAATATATGGATGGAGGTCAGGACTTACGAGTACTAAATCATCGGTAGGACATAATAGTATATTTATTGCGTTTATTATATTTTTGATCATTGTAATAATTTATTATTATGTCGTTGTTTCCCGGTACTTTAGAAGTACAACAATTGATCCAGCATTTGCTCATCTTGTGCAAAGACGACATTCAGTTGCAGGACCTCCGATTTCTTTTTCAAACAACCAATCATCTCGATATAATATAAACGATGCATTGGAATCTCTCCATTTAAGTAATGTACAGCAGGCAACATATACCCATGATACAGCGTATGCTAGCATTCCAGAAGACATTGATGATTATTTTGATAATGACGAACATCGTACGCGGGCGTGGAATGAACTTGGAAAGGGTCTCCCACTTCATGCTGTTCCTACACATGGTCCTTTATTTCTTGTTGAATTCAAAGCAGGTCGTACTGACCTATTTTACGTTGCCGAAAATAGTGGAAATATGGTTAAAAAAGGTGATCTAGTTATTGTTGAGGCGGATCGAGGCAAAGATTTGGGAAAAGTAACCAATGATTCAATCATGCCTCATCAAGTTCAGTTGCTGCAACAGCAACATGCTGATTCTATGAGTGATGGTCATCGTATGAACAAAGAAATTCATCCGAAACGTATTTATCGATTAGCACAGCCTGCGGAAGTCACAATGCTTGTTACAAAGAGTCAAGACGAAGCAAAGGCTATGCTAGTTTGTCAGACTAAGGTTCGTCAAAAGAAACTGCCAATGGAAGTTGTCGATGCTGAATACCAATGGTGTGTTTACTGTTTGCATAATTTTGCTATTTATCATATTACATTATAATTGTATTGATAATTCTATGTAATTTAGGGATCGGCGCAAACTCACTTTCTATTTTATTGCTGAACGTCGTATTGATTTTCGTGAATTGGTCCGCGACCTGTTCAAAATCTACAAAACACGTATTTGGATGTGTGCTGTGAATCCTATGATGAATAAGCCCAAGAAATAAATTCTTAGTTTGTAAAGAGGACATTCGAAAACAAAAAAATACATATATATTGATAAACTAAAGGCATTTTTGCGCACAAAAAAAAAAAAAGAAAAAAAAAAGCAAAAAAAAAAAAAAAAAAGCAAAAAGAAAAAAAAAGAAAAAAAGAAAACTTTCAAAATCATTTTGCGGATTTCTCCTTTCCTATATTGAAACTCGCAATGTATATTTCCTCTCTTTTTTATACCATTTTGTTTGACACGTCAGGAACGACTTTTTTTGTTTAATATTGTAGAAAAGAGATCAATAATGAATTTATCACAACATATCCATACTTTCAAATCGATAATTTACTTCTTTGTATCTATATTTTTTTCGTTTTTTTTTTTTCGAAGCCATAGATCCAATACATTATATATATTATTAATGGATCAATTTTGGTATACTCATGTCATATAACCTGTTTTCATATATTAGTAGTTTACTAACAATTACGACTTATATAGGTTATAGTCATCCCCGATGTTTGTTCCAGACCACTTAACATAGTTTCCTTTTTTTTTTTGATTTTTATTATTATTAATTACAGTAGACATATTGTAGAAATTTTTATACAAAAGGGGATATTTTATATGAAATACAATATATTGTTTTTGTATTTTTTTTTTTTTTTTGGTTGGGAACGAGTGAAAGATAAAGAAATAGAAAAAAAGGACTTAATCCTTTCTTTAAATGTATTACGATAATATTTTAGTTTTTTTTTTTCTTTTCTTCTTTCGCTTTATACTCAACGGATTCATAATGCTGAATAATGTATTTCACATGATTTATTCTTTTGGAATGTTACATTTTTGTCAAAAAATATCACTTTCTCTTTATATCATAAATTCTTTCCTTTTTCGATTATACAAAAACTCGAAAATTCATTACTCATTTTTCCTTTTTTTTTTTTATATTCTTAAATCTAGTATTTTAAACAATTGTGTATACAAAACAATGCATTCGCCTTACTATTACTGAAATTACAATGATTACATATCAGTTTATATATGATAAAATTGGTTTAACTTTGCATTTAATATTATTGATATTATATTACAGTATAATATTAGAGGAATATAAAGAAATTATTATTACAAAATATATAGGATCTTTTTGCAAATATATAATATTATGAACCATAAGTCCATTTTGCTAACCATTAATAAATTGATTTGCGTTTCATAATATGTTGTGACATCCCTTATTTGTATATGCAGCGCGAGAAAAAAAAAATATTAAATATGCCAATATTCAATTATAGTATCAGCATTGCAAATCCATGTATAAATATATAAAAAGCAAATTTATTTGATTAAAGTAGAAATTTTTGTACAAGATTTTGCTTTTTTTCTTTCTTTTCTCTTTAGATTCAATCATTTGATTCAATTATTTAATAAATCAAAGTCAATCAATATAATAGCTTCATGATTCTTCTAAAATTATGTAGATTTATGGCACCCTGAAACTTTTGAATAAACATATAGCGATTGTGTTTGATCTTTATCTTGGCTCTTGGGTGGATTTCGAGCCTTGTTTAGTAGACGAGTCTGAAGTGGGTCAACATTAAAATGCGTTGGACTATGGGTTACTGTGTAAGGAAGTTCAGGAATTGGTGGACCAAACTCCGCTCTAATTTTCTTATGCCCACGGTCGATATATTGACCATGCGTTCGATAAAATTCATTCATCTCGTTAAGAGGGCCATAAAAATCAAATGGTGTTTTCTTGCACTTAAGTAATAATTGTTTTTAATTGTTAATTTAGAAATTTATGATTGAACTTCATATAATATATATTCGAAATAATTACCTCTTCAAGCCTTTTGGCTTTAGCAGCAGCGCGAAGTTCTTGAATCTCTGCTTCGCGACGACGTTTATCTTCAGCTTCTTTCTCTTGTTGCTTTTGTTGCCTTTTAATAGTTTCTGCGGTTTCCCGAGCCAGCCTAAATTGTTCTTCCTCTCGTCTGCGCCTTTCCTTTAAATTTATAAATGATAAGGTAAAATCGCATAAAATAATATAAATATTCATTAAAGTACTTACTTCATCGGCCTTTCGAAGAGGCCCATAATATAACTCACTATAAACTTGCTCCCATGTGATTTTTCGCTCTGTTGGTAGAACCCATGGTTCATAATTGTCGATCATTTCTTGTGGAATTATCCGTTTTTCCTCTTTAGGGGGGGGATGGTGGAGGTTCTGTTCTTGGAGAATTTTGAGATAGAGTTTGCGTAGAAGTTGGAGATATATTCTGAGTTTGGGCCTTGGCTTTGCCCTTCGGTTTGGGGTTTGTAACAGTAGTTTTTCTTCGTTTCGCAGGACGAGTTTTTTTCTTTTTTAAAACAAATATACTCAATCAGTTGAAAAACTTCCAATACATATATCATTTTATCTTATAAAAATGCTCTAATCGATGAATGAACCGATAATGAATTATATACCTTTGATATTTCTTTTTATCGTGTAATATACCGATTTGGCGAGTCCAAAATGATCATTTTTTTGCAAAGTTGGTGGGTTTGGAAAAATACATACAACAAACAAGAAAATTAGAGGGAAAAAGATGAGATATTCGTTCATTGGAAATGCAACTATAAAATTTCCAAACTACAAGTAACTAATAAATTTTTATTAGGTATGTAATTTTGTTAAGGGCAAGACTAGACCACATTGAACAAAAAAAAAAAAAAGGAAAAAAAAATATCGTATTGGACGGAAGCTTTCAAATATCTATGCGCCCCTTTCAATGCTGCGCTATATGGCGGCATAATATTTGTCACAACAAACTTGAAGAATAAATGCGCTAATATATTGAAATAGGATTCTCTGTATTGTGTGCCTCACTTTCCTTCCTTCCCCAGACAATTACGCAGCAATGAAAGAGTGAAGGGGCAAAAGAAAGAAAAAAAAGCGAAATAGGAAACGGATTGAATAAGGACTTTCACTGATCTAAACAGTCTCGCTACCTGAATCTTCCGATTCTGAACCAGATGAATCAGAACTCTGACTGTCTGAAGAATCGTCGTCCGAACTGTAATGACTTCCATATTTAGCTATGAAATAAAACATATTCATAAGTGATGTGATGACTGAAAATATGATCAAATAAATTTATGTAGTAAATTAAAATATACCTTGGGGAGACGGTGTTGGAGATTTGTGATCAAATTTTGCCAAGGTTCTTTCTAAGGCTAGAATTTTTTGTTCCTGCTCTTTTTCATTGGCATTTGTACGAGGTTTTTTAGAAGGTGGTCCTCTTTTTTTCGAATTAGCTTTTTTTGATGTATGCCTCAATACAAAATCATACATCTTTTTGGCAGTATTATAATCAAGTGCTTCAATTTCTATTTCATAACCGCCACTTCCTCTCTAAAGATAAACCATCTTTAATATGACTGAATAAAGTTTGTGGATAAACAATGACGATCTTGAAGAATCAAATAAGAATACCTCCATAGGCGCACCACTCTCTTCGATTAAACGAATGAGTTCGTTCATTTTTTCTGTAGAGAGAAGTTCGATCCTTTCACTGAGATCTGTTTTTTGTTCTGATGTCAGCCCTTCTTGCTCTTCACGTTTATTAGTAGTTCGAGGACGCTTTAATGATTTCTTTCCATCTTCGACCAACTTATTACTATCTGGAGTACTTTTAGTTGTACTAGGCTTTGCACTCTTTGCTGCCTTTTTAGCCTTTGATTTTGTAGATGGTTTTCGCATCTGAGAAATTTGGCTTGATAAAGCAGCCAAATGTTTCTGCAAAGCCTTCAAATGATCACCTATATGTATATATGAGAATATGCTTGAGTTTTGTTTTGGCATTAAAAATCAAATAGTTAATAATGGAAAAACTTACTTTCATCCGCTTCAGATTCGCTCTCAGATTCTCTTGATTCTTGACGAGCCTGAACCTTAGGTCTCTCTGCCCATTTTTTGTCAAAAACTTTTTCTAATTCTTTACCCATATTATACACATCACTCCCAGGCCCATTATAGGTATAACAATTTTGAAACATGAGACGAATATCTGCTTCAAACTCATCAGCATTTACATAATGATCATTTTCCAGCTTAGTGTTGATAGTAGAAAGATCCATCGGACGTGTGATAATTTTATAATAATCTGGAACACCTAATTTTGCAGCATCAACTGGTTCATAAAATGGATATGCGTAATGCCAATGAATTCGTTTTCGCAATTCCCTAATAACTTCACGGCAAAATGCGACATCAGTGTTCTTTTTAATTTTTTTGCGGCGAGCAGCAGGTACATCAGGTAAATCTTTTGCAGGTGCCTTGATAGTCCTTTTAGGACGTTTGACATCAGATATTGCAGGTTTTGCCGCAGGTGATTCTACAACAGGTTTACATGTCTTTGTTCCCTTGCTAGAAGGCTCTGCAACAGATTTTTGCGGTATCTGAAACAAAAAAAAAAAATAACAATTGATATCCATGAATATGAAGCAATTGATGACTTTATTAACATGGATACACGACGCAAGGATAATTCACCTCCTCTTTAACACCAGGCATTTTCATGAGTTGCTGAGTGAATAAATTGTCTAACTCTTTTGCATAAGTAGAAAATTGATGAGCAGCTCCATTATAGACGATACAGTTGGAAAATACCAATCGAACATCCGAAATAAACGCATTCACACTCTCATAAGCACAATCATTGAGCTTTTGTTCAACTGTACCAAGATCCATAGAATTTTTGATAATATCTGGGTAATCTGGAATGTTGTATTTAACATAATCGACCGGTTCAAGAAACGGTGCTGCCGAAGAATGATGCTTCAGTGTTTTAAGGGCTGCGGCACAGTACTTATGATGCTCACGACCCATGCTTTCTTTAAACCAGCTAGATTGAAATCTGGATATCAAAGTTAAACATATTTAATATATTTTCAATCGTGTTAATCTATCATTTATTAATTTATCAAGCGAAAAGTTGATATGATACGAAAATAAATGGCTAGCTTAAAAATGAATACGAAACAATTGTGTAGAAGAATATTATTGAATAAAGTTAGAGACAGAGCGATAATGATAAAAATTCCCAAATATAATAAATATAAAGTATAGCAAAAAATAAGATTCTAGGTAGGTTAAGATTCCTTAATATGGGTAATCAAATATTACTCATGGAACAAAACGATCTACTTTAAGTAATAAGGATGTCAAATTCTCGAAAAAAATTGGTGGATTCATAAAATACGTGTGATTTATAAATTTCAGATTTAAAAATATTTAAAGTGGTTACAGATGAAGCAACGTATTCCTATCTTTGCTGATTTTTGACAAAAAAAAGAAAGAAAATCATCCTCCAAAATCAAAAAGTTTAGAGCTTAAGCATACCTGCTGTTATTGTTTGTGGAAGATTGGGACGTCTCTGCGACATGAGACTTTGTGGTTTGTTTCTTACTTTTTGCCATTCCGACGAAAAGATGTGGGTGAGGCGAAAAGGAAAGAGTGCAAATATTTGATTAAACTTTTGGTATATTTGCCTGCTCAGAATTGGTACACAGGGATACCTCCTGAAAATAATTGACGAATTAGAATGCACCAATTGATAATGCGTACGTATATATATATGTAAGGCTTACAAGAATTTGTATGACGAATCACCACGCAGAGCAAAACATTTCATCTTATCAAAGTACAAACGAAAACACATGAGGACAAGCAAAATTATTAAACTTTATATTGACGTTAAAAGTCAAGTACAGATATTAAAACTTTCGATTATGTTATTATTTATTATATGTTCCATACGTATTAGTACGTGGTGAATGGTTTTTTGCATGAACATTATAAAAGATTAAAATATGTATCTTTAATCCAATGCCTTATATACGATAATGAATATCGATATGTATAATACGACTACATACGTAGTGAAATTAAATGCACTATATATATTTTTGCAAATATATATATACGTACAAATGTTTTGGACACTTAAATGTTATTTATACAGTATCTTTTGAAAAATTATTAACTAGTGTTACTAGAATTGACTTTCTGAGCGTTTAGGATTTCGCATCCGGAAAATGTATACGTACGTACGTACGTACGTGCCAGGTTGATGCACCACGGCGCCTGAAGAAGTATTGTATAGCATTAGAATCTCTGAAGTATAGATTAGTGCTCAAAGGTGGTTAACATTTTTCAAATCGATTAGTTGGTAACTAATCATCACATGTTTGGATAAATTTGATTAACTAATTATCACCTATCTATTGAACTTAGGGATAGGAATCGGCTATATGATTTAGTCGACTACATAGTAATTTATATACGTATAAATTTTTTAGTCGACTAAATCGATTCCTATCCCTAATTGAATTGGTTAAATAAATTTTACTATGCAAATAATTAGATTGTTAATGCAACTTTTTTAAATAAACTATATATCTATTTAATAAACCTTAAAAATTCAAAATATTTTTTTTTTCGCTTCGGTAATTTTGCCTTCTTGTATATTGAATTGTAATCTATTTATTGGCACAAAATATATTTAACAATATACAGTATTTTACTAAAAAAGTTATTCTAGTTTTTTATAAGAAAGTATTAGTATCTTATTGATTTTTTTTTTTTTGGTATGAAGATGATGTCTTGCCCATATAGTATCTTATTGTTAAATAACCCTTTTATATATGCAATGGGCCGAAAATTTCAAATTTGTAATTTTATAAAAAGTGGAAGCTGATTGTTCTAATTCTTCAAAAAATTAACTCTTTTGCTATGGGAGTTCCCATATTTATATATTTTATAGTCAAGGTTAGCCTCTTTGGCTTTTCACTTTTATTAGATTGTAGAATCATATGGTGCTTTTTTCAAAAGAATTTCAAACAAGTACATTCTAACAAGAGTATATATAGATATATATATAACATTAGTCATTGCCTATTTATGCTATATCTCTATAGTTACTTTTTATATGCCATATCTAAGATCTGCCTGTGAATCCTTTATTAAAACCCTCTAATCTAAGTTTTCTATACCAATTCATCTAATTTCACTCAGAATATATAATATATCAGTCAGTTCAAGTTTCAAAATTATTGCAAGCTATCTATAGGACTACTGATATAGTTAACTGATTTATCTTTATGTGTAACATCTGTTAGAGCAGTTTGGTATCTACTATTACTGTATTATCTAGTCTATTTCAATAACTTATATTGAGTCTGAGAACAAGTATTTGTAAGCTAAAGCTGCTATCATTATCTACTCAGCCCTTGTAGAGTTCATCCAAATCTCAGTATCTTTCTTTAAAACAACTTAGTATCTTTCTTTTTAGTATTTTCTAGCTGGTCTTTCAGACTACCATTTTAGATTGTTTAGAAGAAACAACAGTCCTGTAGTATCTGCTGATTTTTTTTTTCTGATCAATGTTCAAGCTGGCAATCTGGTTAGTAAAACAACTTGTCAGATGCTCTTGTTATATCCAGTTAACTAATCTTAGGTGAAGTTTATTTCAATAGCTATTATCAAAAGTCTGTATTATTTTTTACTTAGGTCTTGCCAAACAGACATCTATTTTTCTGATTTCTTAGATTAATACAATTATAAGAGTTTATCTTGGGTTTGCACTACTCAATATCAGCTTGTATATCTTTATAAAACTTCTATATTGTACAAATGTTTTATAATCTCCTAATTTTTTTATACTACCAAAGTTACAGAAATTTTGTTTTAACTGATTGTTGAAAAACAATAGCTATTGTATAAGCAAAATATTTAAAATTTTGTCATCAGTAAATTTTGAACTCCAATCTGCCAATATACTATTTAGGATGTGACAACTTAATTACTTTACTAAATTACTATACTTTTTTATATATTTTTTTAATACTAAAGTATATTAAAAATTAATTTATAAATAGGTAATCCCCTAGTCAGGTTATAAGTATGGCAGCTAGTGTAGAACCTATGGTGTACAGTTATCTATATACAGACTATTTAAATAGGCACTCAAAAGGCGCACATGTAGCTAGTTGTACTCTCTAATGTAATTAGGGTTCCATTGTAAGCTTCCTGTTCATTATACTTGAATAAAAACCCTTATGTCAATGAGGCTAATTAAAAAAAAAATAAAAATAAAAATTAATTTACTGACATGGCTTCACTATTAAAGATTAAAAAAAAAAAAAAAATTAATTTACTTATTAAGCTATTTTAAAATTTTCAACTTGCTAAAGATATTTTTTTTTATAAAAACAAATTATCTTATATAGTATTTATATTATTTTTATTTAATTCTTATTATAATCAGTATTGGGCTAACCAGACCAGTTTGACTAATTGATTAGACCTATTTAACTATTTGATCAGTCTGATCAAAGAATTTATATTAGTCAAATTAGTCAAATAGTATTTTTATTATATAATATATACTGTATATTATATTTATATTGTATAATAGATTTGATTGATTTGACTAGTTTGACTAATTTACTAATTTGATTAACCAATTTGAATAGCAAATTTTTGTTTGACTACTGATTTACCTAACACTAATTGTAAAATATAGATGAATTAATAACCTAGAGAATTTTAATATTAAAATATAATACAGATCATATATAGGTAAAACTTGAATTAAAATTTTAAGTTATAAGTAAACTTATAAAATTTTTTAAACAAATATAGTATTAAAATAATACAAATACTAGAATGATACTTTAAGTTTTTAATTATAAAGATATTAAATATCAATTTTCTTTTTTAAAAAGTTTATTTTGTAAGCATATAATATTTACTATAATAAATCTTGTCTTAATTAAATAACAAGTTAAATAATAAAACTTTGATCTTAGTAAATTTATAATAAATTTGTAAATTTTTTTTAATTTTTAGGTTTTTAGAATTACATTATGTTTATCAGAAATCAGAATCATGAATTATTACTAACTATATTATATTATATAAGTATGAAATCTTAATATACAGTATAATAAGTTGTTATATATTATATGATCTTATAAAGATTTATATTTTCTAATCTTTTTTTTTATAGTTGCTCCAGTGCCTCTTAATATGCTTGATCTTTAGAAAAACTAAATAGCAGAAAAACAATATACAAAGCAAAGAGACATAGTGACTTTATTAGATCTAAGTGATAGTAATCTCGGTTTAGAAAGCAAAAATACATTAGTAAATAAAATATGCAAAATAATAATCTTGGTATTGTAACATGGAGAACTATGATAAAGACGGTCAGACCCAACGCACAGAGCAGACTATAGCACCCTTTGCGGCCGTGAGAACTAGGCTTAAAATGGCAAGTGATTCTGCAGAAGACTATTTGTCTAAATCATTATCAATATCTTTAGACTTCTATAATTTGGACGCATACTACAACAAATATTTACTACATCATAAACTTCCCTTCCTTAAAGGATCTCAAACTCTACAATCTTTTTACTCGCATCTCAGTACTTATGCACTTCACCTTAAAAAATTTGCTGCTATTTCACTATCTAAAGACAGGAAAGAAGCACATGTTTATCTACCACAT